TGAACGCGGATTGGTGGACTGTAATGATGATTCGTTCTTACTAAAAACTATAAATACCTGACAATTTCATACTATAATTGACACTGTTTAGAATAATATTCCTTTCATTAGTCTTCTGTCTTCTTACTGCGACTTGGAATGGTTTTGGTTTTCTAGTGCTCTGTTCTACGCGGTGTATCAAGAAACCAGCCTTCAAGATATAACAGTTTTCTTTTTTTTTGTTATTTTCACATAACTTTTTCCCATTTGCTAACCATAGAGAAAAATGCATACAGTAATCAGTATTAGAAATTGTTTAAAACTTCATAAGATATTTTTTTAGTACATACATACCTATGTGTATAAACTGATGTTTATATTGTATAATAGAAAACCAATTTTACCAGTTAAGTTTAAAACAATTAATCCATTTATCAGAATGTATTTTGTTGAGATTTTTAGAAATTTCACAGAATGAAATCATGAGTCTATTGAAGGTAGACTACCATGGAAAACCTGAAAGCACTTGACAGCCATTGAATACCTGCTCAGTGGTTTAATATTTAAGTGCTAGCGCGCGAAACCAGTAGGTCTTGGGTTCGAATCTCACAGGATGCGAGATTGTGGATGCGCACTGCTGAGGAGTCCCATACTAGAACGAAACAGACGTCCACTGCTTCCAAATTTTTCATGTTGGTCTAGCTTTAATTAACTCATGAATTTGACAATGAAATTAATGAAAGCTCCACAAATGCCCACCTTTCATTATATATATATATATATATATATATATTTTAATATTTCATAACCGTTGCAATTCGTCTTAGCATGTCGCGTTTACACCCATTTCATTTAGATATGTCAATAATTAAATTATTTTATATTACTTATAAAGATAATTAATTATGATTATACATACAGTTTTCTTTTTGTGTTTTTCTTTATAATTCATGATTGAATGTTTTAAATAAATTAAAACTCTACCAAAACTCATTCATTTAGTTCATAGTTAGTTCAAGTAATATCAATAAGCATCAATAAAAAAATTTTTTTTCTGTATTTCATTTTACAAGAAGAAGTTTGTGTAAGATAATGCCTTACAAAAATCAAAGTACAGAATCATCATTGACTGATCAATATCTTTTCTCCGGATGATTTGATCACAAAATTCCAGATGCGATATGCAGCATGAGCATTTAATCACAAATGCGTGTTGGATAGAGCTGATTAGTCTACCTGAAAGTCAAAACGATAATAGCTATTTTCACATGTCTTTTAGATGGTTCTTCATAGCACGGATGTCAAATTAATCGGCCTATATTGAACAATATCACAACATGATCCAGTTTTTGTGTCTAAAAGTGATAAGATATGTTTTCCAGACAGTCGAATTAGGTTTTTCTACCTAAGGGTTTATTCTATATTCATGTGAGTTTACAACTTCCGTTTTGTGTGATCTATTGAAGCCGAAATCAACAACATGACCAGGTTGGCTTCTGACAGTTCATATAAGCAACTTCGTTCGATTCTCAATTTGGCACCACCATCATCCTATACCAGTGGTGAACGTCTCTAGATATTGATGACGTTTGTTTCACAAACTAGTACAGTTTGTCAACCATAACGTTTTCTTATATTCATCTGTTGTTATTACTGAAAAATTATACCTGGAAGCACTGGATGGCTGTCTTACTCTAGTATAACACACCTCAGCACGAGGAACTTCAATTCAAGAGATAAAGTCTCGCGCGAGCGCGAATGCATAAACGGAAGATCACTGAATCGCTTGGCATTCAACGGTGTTCATGATATTAATTGAAGTGACGGTGTGCATCCTCTACATAATCGTTGTGTCACAAACAAATGTGAGCAGTCAATTTCCTTCTGAACTATTATTACCAATACCAATTCCATTGTATTAATTTAGTAATAATCGAAGCTTCGATTTACAACCACTCAATACAATGAATTGTAAAAGGACATAGTTTCTTACCAGCCTATACTTATAGAGTCACGTGTGATATTGTTGACAGAGCATTAGGATTGATTTTTCATTGTATGAAAACTTGAAATTCAACTACATATGAAAGTTTGTACAAATATGGTCTACATTGTTTATCCAGGATTTACATCGAATGCTATCAGTTGATAATTAACATCCAGTGAGACACGTTTTTTGTTCTCCACTATATGACATATACAAAAATGACATAAATATATCGAAATGATGGCTATACTTTTGATTCAGAGGAAAAATATTCAAATGCTCAAAGTATTTTACATTAAAAAGTGCAAAACATCAAGTTGTGCGTACAGAAAATATGAAAAGTTAACGCGTTTAAATGCCTACCCGGATGTCTACAGTATAATCTTTCCCATTGAATTTGGATTGGGTCTCCTGGTGTGTGATAATGTGTACACAACGGTGTTTTGTCTCATGCGGGTATCAAAACAGCTCACCAGTGCTCCCAGATATTCGGTGATGGTGTGAAATGATCATTCGACTATTTAAGTAATCAAGAATTTGTAATCCTTATGAAACCCAGTGGTAAATCTACTTACTACTGGGAATGTTGTAGTACATCAGGTTACAGATGAGAATTAAACAGTGATTCTATCTGGCGGTATGACAATTCACCTGTAAATTGGACGACTGGACGCACACGTCACATAGTTTTCATAGTAAACTAACGTATAGAATGTTTGGTAATTCTGCTTTACTTTGTCTCTCCTTGATCACTTTACCGGGACTTTTTTGTTTATTGTCTTATACTTCTTCTGTTACTTAGGAAGGCAAGTTCATTGTGCAAAATTTTGAGATAGTTATACATATATTCAAAACATTCAATGAATTCATTATTATACTAAAGATAACACAACTACCGAAGCAGTTATTCACAATTGACTGCATTCGTTTAACCCTTCTTTAAACGCATCAGTCTCTCTATTGTTTGCTCTTTGTTCAAATTCTGCTTGTTGATAAACCGGACTTATGTATAGTCACTGCAGGCGGCTGTCGATTTGCACTAGCGAAGCTTTTTTATTTCAGCAAAAATACATTCGATATATGCATTAGAAACCTCACAAGTTGAGGATTGTATCTAATGTTTGTATAACATTCAATAAACTACCTCAATTTTAGATAAATCACATAATTTGAACATCGATTAATCGCGTATCTCAAATAGGTGATTCGAACGCTTCGATAGACTGAACAATGGTGTTAAGTTGAAGATCATTCATTGAGTCAACGATTCAAAAACTGCTGCCACTTCCGAAAAATCTAATCTCCAGTTAGAGATGTCAACATCAGTTTAGCAGTTCTCGATAGTTAATTAGGTGTGAAACAGATTTTACGTTCATGATTAGCTACTCTGAAAGCTTTTACATATATGAGATATAATAAACCATTATCATTCTCCTTAACTTCGACGTTATAAGAATAACAACAAAAAACCTAAAAAGTTAATAAAGAATCACAATGTGAATGTGGTCAGATGAACGAAATTTTGCTATCAGCTCATGAAATGTAGTTATCACGACAGAAGACTTTTAAATTAGAAACACAGTGGAAATATCTACTAGGGCAATAACGATGGGAACTCGATAATTAGGAGACCTGATAAAAGTAGAGGAACTGTGCAACTTGACAAAAGTGACCACATTGACAAGATAAATTACATCTTGAATGATCAGCAAAACGTTCAAAACATGACAGTATAAAAAGTTGACAAATATAACAACGAAAATGAGTACACTGGCTGGCTGATATATCCCACAAATCAACGGGTGGGTCCACCAAACCTACACAAGTCAATTAGGCAGATAAGTACTCATTCTGTATCAAAGTGACGAGTAAATATTTCAAAACCACTCCAAAAACACGTAATGAAGCCTAGTATTAAGGACACATGACAGTTCGTTCGCAAGATCATAAACACTCAATTGATTGTTCACAAATATCCTATTCAAAGAGACTGTGTACTACTATTGTGAAAAACATACATTACAAAATATAGAGACTTCAGACTCTGTGAATATCATCAGTGATTTATTACAGAAATATACTACTGACAGAAATTTCGAATTCAGTGGTGTAATGTATAGACTGAACGATAATGTCGCAATGTTTTCACGCCATTCTCCCATTTCTTTTGAAATTTTTTTCACTAATTTAGAGAATGTTCGACTGACCCAGAGGACGGACACATTTTCAGTTTGTCGCCGATTTATGGACCATAAGTTTATACTTTGTAATAAGCTTACTGTTTGTGTAGAAGCATTTGAGCGATTTAATGAATTTCTCACATACATGAAAGTCACATGTGAGAAACAAAATAGTGGTAGAACAGCTTTTCTACACGATCTATTTACAAAGTAAAAAGACGGGTCATTAGGAAGAAGCACAAGAAATCTACCTGGACGGGTGACTCAGTTTCTAAAAATTTTGATAATCATTCAAGATGTTTCTCATTTTGTCAATGAAATAAAATTCGTTAAGTTGTAAACTTGCAGTTCCATATTCAGTTGCCGTGAAAATCAAATCCTCGTCATTATCGAGTTCATTCATGGCCTCCTTATGTATTTTACTTAACGTACTTATGTAGGTCAATTTATTATACTTAAACAGATAGCAAAATTACAATAATCTTACTACTTTTGCATTGCTGTTATTTACCGCCGTTACGAATTTGTTGTTTATATTTGTATAACGTAATCTAGTATTGCAGTCAATCGACTACGTAATCGTGATTATTCACATTTAGTATGTTCTCACGTAACGTGTATTACAACAAATACCTGACTTTCATCACCGCTTGCCTTCACTGATGTTTACGTGAATTTCAAGAAACCCATGAAAACATTCAAAACTCTCAAGTAGATGTGTGACATTTATTGATAAAGCTACTGAATACAAACACAATACAACCATAGTAACAATAAGTACTACATATCACGTAGTCTTGAATCCCTATAATCTTGATCTCTTTAAACTGGCATTTGACCCTTCCTTATATGCTGAAATAGTGAATATTTCAATGGAACCTGGACCATATTGGTTCTCCGGCTCATTGCTTCCTCCATTAACTTTTATACCGATATGTGACTTTTGAGTTAATCCTGAGAACTTTGAATTAGATTGTGGTCTTCCACGAAGATATGCTGAAGAAATATGTAATGGTATTTTCACTTGTTCTCGTTCTCCAGACGTCTATAGAAATTTCAAATAGAAGATATTGAATTGTTGTACACAATTGAATATCACATTACCTTGAAAACTGATTCACATGATACACAATCGCTTGTGTCCGAACATTCGCTATAGAACAATCTGAAATGAGAATGTGGACCTTGTCTATGTAGGTCAATTATCACACCGTCATATGCTGGCAAAACGTCAATCTGCACTATCCTATGAATTCCAGCAAAGCTTGGTCCATTCTTTTGTGGAGTGAGGAGATAGAAGAATATCCCTGATTGATAATTCTAAACGTGATGTTGGCTGAATTATATGTATGAATAAAATTTACCTGTCCTTTAAGTTTTACTAGTGTAGCCTTAGATCTCCCTCCATCTGATACCTCAATCCAATTTTCAAATGCACTGGTGTTAAAATCAGTGAAGTTTAAGATAGTTACATTGACCAGATCACCTCCCCGTTTGATGGTGGTTTTTAATGAATTTTCCTTCAAAGTTTTGCAAGTGTTGAGTAATAGAGTTATAAATATTGCCACGATAACGGATATATTTCCAGTGGCCATTCTGAGTTGAAACAGATTAGAATTTAGTTGAGCTATTTATCTGTAAGGTAAAATGAACTAATAATTGAAGTTCACAGAAAAGCGTGTTATCAGTATAATGTGAGACAGCCCTGCAATATCGTAGACTGATTTAAGTTAAACACTTACACTGGTGGGTGACGAATCAGTGGCCATGTCTTACTCGTGAGATCGTTGACGAGCAATGAGTGTCCTACTGCAAGTTATGATAAACACTCATCAGTGTCACAAGTATATAATATATTTGTAATATTCCAATGTGTAGAAAAATTAGATATTCTGACGGTTAGTGCTATTTGAACTTCGATCAATTTTAATTCGGTTATTCATTCTCTGATGGACTGGCTTACACTAAGTGTCAGATGACCTTCATTTTTCTACTCATCGTGATATTACCATGATATTATTCATTAGTAACAATCTACTCAATGCTCATTTATTTGAAATGATCAAATCACAGCTTGGAAATGAAACCTGCTAATCAGTGTCGTTGTATCAATAACATAACAGCGTTCGATCGCAATCGCGCTTCTTCAGTTCGTGCCCGTCGTGTGGGGTATATAATGGCCACTGAGCTTCCTAGTGTAAATTATGATAAACACTTATCTGTTTCAGTGTTTCAATAATACGTTTTTATCTGTTTGCTGTTATTCACTTCACAATGAACTACAGCACTAGTGAAACTGAGTGCGATGTTGAATACCACTGCTCCGCTCTTAAAATCTCATTAATTTGGCAGTGCTTCTTACTAAAACTCTAGTAAACTCTCTCAAAGTTAAACACAACTGAGTACAGCAGTGACGGTTATATTTCATGAAGAAATGAAAAAAATTGTTGTGAAGATCGATCAAGTCCGCAATGCCAAATCATACCATTTCGATTGGTTGTCGCCACGTACATTATCGCTGACCTTCTCTCGTGTCAAGTCCTTTCTACTTAGATTAAAGATTTGGACTCTGAAGTTCACACTTACAACTTCGGTCGTTCCTCAATGCCACACTACTATAATCCATCCCTATAGGGAACTCCACTAAATAATTATTACTTTTATTTCACAAAGCTTGTGCGACTTGTCGACCACAACGATTTGTTATATTCAACTGTCTCTGTAACTGAAAAATTATACATAAACGTGGACACATATTTCAGTGTCAGATTAACTAAACTAATGAACATTTGAATAACTTACACTTGGTGTTGAATATCTTGTGTCTACGAAAGATCACATACTCGTTTGCTTTTATAATTTTATTTCACAAAGAGATTATGAGTTTCAACCAATCAGATTATCACAAATACGATCAGTCTCTTAATGGTTGTTAAGAGTGTGATACAAAGATCATCTGATTACATTCAGTGCACATGTGTGACATTAATGCAGGACATACTTACGAAATTGTATCAACAGCAATTTAGTCAAACTAACATGAGTTCAACAGTTACACACACGCACACACAAGCAGATGATTGATCGGTTTTCAAATAAAGAGCAATACAAAATCGTGATATAATCCAAGTATATTAAGGAAAGCAATCGTTACTTTCTTGTACTTTACATCACAGACTGACCTAAGTTAATCATTCACTCAAAATGTGAAAGAGTTGGACTGCTGTTTTGTTCAATGATATGACTCTACTGAGTGCATCGGATAACTCACCGATGGTCGGACACTTGACTATCAGATTTTGTGTAGAGCGACTAACCTCTAGAATTCCTATCTGATATCCAACGGTTTGCTTGGACGCCTCCATTCAATTCGCAGTAGTGTGACAATCAACGTTAAGATTTACAGATGAGGATGAACTGTACGGTTTCGTTTGTACAGATGGATGAGTGGCGTTCACATGGAGGCGTCCAAGATTCTAATCCGAATGCAACGCATTACGGTATGCACAAGGTATTATCGCGTATTGACTGACTGATGGGTAATTCATGATCACCAAAGTATGTATTGGATAGGTGGGAGAATTACTCCTTGCTATATTATATTAGAGTCACCAGCTCTATTTTCAATTATGATAAAGATTTCTGAATAACTCATGATATCGAATGATGTAAAGGGGAAGTGACATCAGAGAAATATGTAACCTCAATAGGTGTGAGGTACAAATAACAATGGTGGACTCGATAGTTCCAAATAAATTGAGCACTTTGTAGAGGTTTGATAATACGTATATTATTTGTCATATCCCAATGAGCAGGTGGATGGTATTTCTGACGGTTTGTGACCTAATGTAAGTCACTTTTTAGAGTAAATATATAACTAACGTTAAATTACCTTAAGTTCAGATGGCAGTTAACACTCCACCAAAATATAAATAATGATGACATACTCATTTGGACTCAACGTGATCCGTTGCAGTCTTTCACCTGCCTATAAATAATGAAATGACCAGTTGGCATATACAACAATAGTATTGGAACCACTCCACGGACTATTGCGTACTCAGATTCTTGATATAGGAACATTGGAATTCGAGTAGCCTTTGTATTATGAGACGAGTTCAATTACACAATTCGCAATGTTTATAATAGCTGATGAAACATGCACTTTGCTAACGGCATCACTCTATAGTAAATGAAATTCTTTCATATGTGTTTACAGTTTTCTGTAATTATAGACTAATCCATTTGTAACCACTAATGTATGTGTTGAACAGATTTAAACATGCACATTTCCTTCATTGTCAGCAATGCAAATAGCTACTTCATCCAGACGATTCTCATTGGATTTCAGTGTGGATGAAGTTGAAATACATAAATCGGAATAGAGATACCACCAGTTAAAATTCTGACAAACCAGTAATGAAAACCAACGTAGTGAAGAATAGTGAAGTAAACTGTGTTTTGGTAAATCTGATCATCTGGTACATCTTAATCCTGACATTTTATCTCTGTATCACGTCACCGTCCATTTGACTAGATGTATCATCAAAATCCTAATTCTGCTTGTAGAAACAGATGGAAATTGTGTTAATTAGTCGTTGTCCAATCAGAGTGTTTATTCAAAACATCTTAAGGAAACCATCGCATCCGTTACAGACATTATTGTTGTTTCTCAATCCAAACAGCTCGCTTGAGATGGTGCGATACGTATGAAGTGAAAAACACACCACATGAATCTTCGAATAATCTGAAATATTTAATTCTTTTATTACGGATGATACAAAGTGTCGTTTCAACATGAAGCACATTGACTCCTTGATGTATTAGATGATTGATTATGTTTGCCAATGATGAACACTGTAATGATGAACTCGCATTATTTCAATTGAATCGACTTCAAAAATGTAGGGTTTATGGGTCACAGTATCATTGCTTATTGTCTCGAAGCAAATAGATTGTGTCACGACTTGTTCACATTATGGTCTCATATTTGCAAACACTTTTCCCTCTAAACATTGAAAGGATCCACTTTCACAAACAATTGACAAGTTCTCACTTTACTGGCAAAATATGGACGATAGGTTCATCATTTGTAATGACCATACTGTCTTGATAGAAGCACATGAGCGATTCAAGGACGTTCACCCGTCTATCAAATTCATATTATCCTACATTACCAAAGAACACATCGCGCCAAGAAATGGAGTAAGATATGCGAAGAACGAACAAAAATTGGAAAGGACTGGAAAGTATAGTTCAGTGCAGAGTGGTTGGAGGCCTATGAATTATTGAGGGTTACAGGCGTTAGCAAGTGACTAAATAATTACACTATTCCCCCTCTGTCTCGCCCTTACGCCATGTTGACTATATTTATTCTGATCATTATTTATTTCATAATTTGATTTCACTTATAATCTGATTCAAGTTAACACTTTATAATCGGCTTAAACTAGACTCAATTGAGACCTTATTACAAACTCATCTCCTTTTCTATATATTTCTTAGTTAAAACCGCACTGGACACTAAAATTATCACATAAAACGCATTGGGCGGATGCGATCAATTAGCTTTAAAATTATTAATCCAAAACTTTTAGGATTTTTAATAACATCGGTTAGCAGACTGTAGTATTAGGTTACGTAGTTTGAACAAGCACAACGTGTCTGTAACAATATGGTTGAAATGTTGCTATCAGTGTAATTATAGTTGATTTACCTACTGAAGTCTTTTAAGGGAAAAAATCACAAGGAGGCTATCGAAGTACTCACTGACATTTTTTCCTCTAAACTACAAAATGGTCAATTGGCGAAACAGTCTGACTAGTTTTCCTATTACTGCCGATACATGAACGACACGTTTATAATTTGGAAAGATTAAAAAGGCTTGATAGAAACATTTGAGCGATTCAATGAGGTTCACCCGTCCATAAAGTTATATTACTCTTCATATTACACAATTTCCTATTTGGAATGGCATTATTCTCTGACTAAATCTCATACCAGTTTGACCATATTTATTCTAAATAATAGTTATTTCACAATCTGATTTCAGTTATAAACCTGTACAATTTAACACTTCATAATCGGCCAAAAATGGCCACGATGAAAACTCCGTCGCAAACTCATCGGATTGTAGATATGTTTCGTCGTTGAAAATGAACTGGACATACGTGTCACCACGTAAAACGCATTGAACATTTGTGATCAATCAGGTCTGACATTTTTATCTCCACATTCTTATAGTTTTCAACAACATATGTTGTCTCTTATTCAACTTGCGATATTCTGTCTATTTCTCCTCAAGTAGTGCAAACTTTAGTATTATCCTACAGGATTAATTTCATGTTATCAAAATATTCATGACGATCACGTGTTACCACACAAGCTCATTTGTCAGGCTTACTCAGGATCAAATCCTCATTTTTATTCAGGTGAATTAGCTGATTCAAATGATGCTTAGCTAATGAGTTATTCTTACTGTTACGGATGAAATGAAGATATTTGGTTGATTTAAAAACTTTGTATTGATTATCATTAATTTCAATGTGTCTTTGGATGTATTTGTTTTAATGAACTTCCAAAGTTGTTTGTTTATGTCATTATATTGGAC